CTAGGTGTCTGGCGACCCTGCAGGGTCCCGGGAGGGCCCGCCGTCCCGTAGGCCTCGCATTCACCCAGCGCCCAGGCCACGAGCCCGGCCAGACCCTCTATCTGGACCCTCCTTCCAGGGGTGCCTGGCCCACCATCACAAGCCCAGGTACATCTCTGCGCCTAGACCCAGACAAGAGGGGACCCTGCGCTCTAAAGGGTCCCACTTATCCACCAACCGGGACACAGAAGACGTTTCCCCCCCTTGGTTCCCTGAGTAGTCGCAGGCCCCAGGTGCAGCAGAGCTTGGCACTGGGTGTTGGGGTACGGAACCCATTTGCACCCTTTCCTGGGCCCTACAGCCTTTAGCTCTGAGCCTGCCAAGGCCTCGCCGTCCCGCTGGCCCCAGTTGCACCCACAGTCTTGCAGCCCTCCGGCCCATCCTTCCTGCCATAACCAGAATGAGCTAATGTGTATGATCAAATCAACCCTCTGCTTGAAACCCTGCAGACGGCTGAGTAAAGGCCCCTCCCCCTCCCCGGCCGTTGTGTCTGACCCTGCCTGGCACTCCAGCCCTCCTCTAGGTGGACAATGTCTTGGGCATCCCCACCGCACACAGGCTGGGTCAGACACTCCCTTCTCGTTGGCATTGGATTGGGATTCTGGGTGTCCACCAGTATCCCCAGAAAAGAGAGGTCTCGGGGGACCAGGGGAGAGCATGGGAGTGACTGCCTCCCAAGCAAGGGCTGTGTACATACCAATCCAGGATTTGCTGGGTGAATGAATGACATAATAATGACCATTTGTCAAGCCACTGTGCACCAGCCATTCTGCCTGCTGCTGTGTCATCTCATCCACTCTTGAGATAGCACCATTAGCCTACATTATGGATGAGAAATTGAAATTCATATATGTTAAGGGATTTGCCCAAAGTAAACACCAGATAGAGGCCTGGCCCAGATTCCAACTCAGGTGTGGCTCAAGTGATACAATGAGTTCCTCTGGGGTCTGGGGGTCTCCTGCCTCCTCCTTCCCTCAGTCCCTCAGCCCCCTTATCCCTGTTGCCCCTGATCACCTGCCATGTTCTGTGCTGCCCCCCGGTGGTCAGGGCACCTCATAGCGAGTGGTTGAACTCCCAAGGGGACAATTTGCATATTAGCCTTTATTATATAGGAGGATACTGCTGGGATCCATGGAGGGTTTTAAGCAGAAAGTGTCATGATAGGATGTGTGTATGTATGTGTATATGTGTGTGTGTGTGTGTGTGTGTGTGTGTGTTGTATATATATATATATTTTTTTTTAATCCTCACCTGAGGCTATTTTTCCACTGATTTTTTAGAGAGAGTGGAAGAGAGAAGCTAAGACAGAGAGAAACATTGATGTGCAAGAAACACGTTGATTGGCTGCCTCCTGCATGTGCCCCAACCAAGGCCTGGGCCGGGGAGGAGCCTGCAACCAAGATACGTACCCTTGATTGGAATCAAACCCGGGACCCTTTGGTCCGCAGGCCAATGCTCGATCCACTGAGCCAAACCGGTGAGGGCTAGTTTTTAGAGAACTCTGGCTATTGTATCAAGAATGGATGTCGGCAAAGAAAGGAAAAAAATAAAAGAAAAAGAATAATAATTAAAAAAATAAAAAAATGGCTGTCAGGAGCAAGATTGGAGGCCAGGACACTGGTGTCAGCCCCATGGAGTGCAGAGGAGGCTCCTGGGAGAAGTGAAGCAAAGGCAGGAAGCAGTGTTTCTCAACCTTTGTTTTTCATTATCGCTCCCTAAGGAAAAATTAACAAGAAATTAAGATAAAAATAATTAAATACTAAATACAATTTTGTCTGGTGCGGCCGAGCTGGAAGGCCACAAGCCGTTACAATACCTAAGATTTATTTCTCCCCGAGAGTCGGTTTTAACCCCCTGGAGGTCACCGTTCTCCAGAGAAGCACGACCAGTAGCACATGCAGATGGAGAGAGGCTGTGACAAGGAACTGGCTCCCAGCAGTGGAGCCTGACAAGTCCCAAGACCTGCAGTCAGCAAGCTGGAGGCCCAGGAAAGCCCATGGTGTGGTTCCAGCCAAAGGCCCCAGGTTCAAGGCCCAGGAGGCGCTGATGTGCCAGTGAGCCCAAAGGTGGGAAATAAAAACCATGATTCGTGCCCAGCTGACAGGCCACAGGCTGGCAGCAGGAGTTTCATCTTCTCGCTCTCTCTTTTTAAAAATATTGTTGAAAGTATTACCAGGAGTTCCACCTTTCCCATTCAGGCCCTTTGTTCCATCTACAGATACAAATGTTCATCTCATCCAGAACTACCCTCACAGACACATCCAGGTCCTCTGACCAAATGCCCGGGCTCCCTGTGAGCCCGTCAGCTTGCTGCAAAGTTAACTCCCACCTGGGAGCACGCAGGCTCCGGGACCAGAAAGGGTACTCTGTACTGAGAAGTCAGAGCTCGGTCTGGCAGGAGTCCCAGCGAGGGGTCTTGAAAGAGTGGGGCATGGAGAAAGCCGCTCAGCCCACGCTCCCCAGCCGCTTTGGCCCAGTGGATAGAGCGTCAGCCTGTGGACCAAAGGGTCCCGGGTTTGATTCAGGTCAAGGGCATGAACCTCAGTTGCAGGATCCTCCCTGGCCCAGGCCCTTGGTCAGCGCACATGCAGGAGGCAACCAATCGATGTGTTTCTCACATCTATGTTTCTCTCTGTCCTTCCCTCTCTCTTCCGCGCGCTCTAAAACCCAATGGAAAACTATTCTCGGGTGAGGATTAACAAAAAAAAAGCAAGCCGCTCAGACCCGCTCTGGGCCCAGAAGGCTCTTGGAACGGGCTGGCAGGAAAAGGTGGCATAAGTTGGGTACTTCTGCAAAAGTGAAGTTTTATTACTTTCATGTACATATTATTAGCCAAGATATAAATATGTACTAGTAACCAGACAATTTTATAAGAAAAATCAGGCGAGTGAATGACCTCACAATGCATGCCCAGTAGGCATTACATAACAATGACTCAGCCTTACCTCGCCAGGCCTTGCTGACTCCTGGTGGCACTGAGTCTGCAGATGGAGGAGTGGGCACCTCTGCCCAGGCCACTTCCTCGCCCGAAGCGGGGCCACAGCGGCAGGTCCCACCCGAGCAGGTGCCGGAATTCTATGCGGATTCTAAAACAGTTCAGGAACGGAAATGGACATATGAATGTTTGGGGAACTAACGCATTGGCAGTTCTTTGTTGTTGTTAATCCTCATGCGAGGATACTTTTCCATTAAATTTTTTAGAGAGAGTGGAAGGGAGGGGGAGAGAGACAGAGAGAGAAACACTGATGTGAGAGAGACACATCAATTGGTTGCCTGCCACACACACCCCAACCAGAGCCGAGGATCAAGCCTGCAACTGAGGTACATGCCCTTGTCAGGAATCGAACCTGGCACCCTTCCATCTGTGGGCCGGCGCACTATCCACTGAGCAACACCAGCCAAGGCGTGAGGCAGTTCTTGCCACCCAAACCTGAAGGCTGCAGGTCAGTAAACTTTCCATGTGGAGCTTCTTTTTTTTTTTTTTTTTTTTAAATATATTTTATTGATTTTTACAGAGAGGAAGGGAGAGAGAGATAGAAAGTTAGAAACATCGATCAGCTGCCTCCTGCACATCCCCTTCTGGGGATATGTCCGCAACCCAGGTACATGCCCTTGACCGGAATCGAACCTGGGACCCTTGAGTTCGCAGGCTGACGCTCTATCCACTGAGCCAAACCGGTTATGGCTCCATGTGGAGCTTCTAATCAGCTTTGAGACATGTCACTGTTGCCTGGCCAGGCAGCTCAGTTGATTAGAGCATCATCCCCATTCACCAAGGTTTCAGATTCGATCTCGGGTCAGGGCACATACAAGAATCAACCACTAGCCTGACGGTTTTGGCTCAGTAGATAGAGCATCGGCCTGTGGACTGAAGGGTCCCAGGTTCGATTCCGGTCAAGGGCATGTACCTTGGTTGCGGGCATATCCCCAGTAGGGGGTGTGCAGGAGGCAGCTGATTGATGTTTCTTTCTCATCAATGTTTCTAGCTCTCTATCCTTCTCCCTTCCTCTCTGTAGAAAATCAATAAAGTATATTTTGAAAAAAAGAATCAAGCACTGAATCCATAAATAAATGGAACAAAGCAATGTTTCTCAAATCAATACATTTTTTAAATGACTCCAGCACAGATATAAAAAAATGTGTGTATGCAGGGCAGCAACAAACTTTTGTAATGAATTGAAAAAATTTCACGACACTGCTTTATAGCTTCAAAGACATTTAAGAAAGGAGTCTTGGAAATAAAAAACATAGCCAAAATTAGCCGAAACCGGTTTGGCTCAGTGGATAGAGCGTCGGCCTGCGGACTGAAGGGTCCCAGGTTCGATTCCGGTCAAGGGCATGTACCTGGGTTGTGGGCACATCCCAGTGGGAGATGTGCAGGAGGCAGCTGATCGATGTTTCTCATCTATGTTTCTAGCTCTCTATCTCTCTCCTTTCCTCTCTGTAAAAAATCAATAAAATATATTTTTAAAAAAATAGCCAAAATTATTTTTAAAATCTCAATACAAGTGTTGCAAGATAAAGGTGAGGAAATTATTCAGACAGTAGAGGAAAAAAAGACATAGAAAATAGAAGAGAAATTAGACCTAAATTTTCAATCTAGGAAATCCAACAACTTTCCAATAAGTGTTCTTGGGGGAGGGAGGGGGAGGGGGTGGGCAGGTAGTGGAGGGAAAGAACTTTTGAATGAGAAAATACTATTGACCAAAAATAAGGGCTCGAGTGCCCAGATTGAGACTATCCAGGGCATGATTCATTGTAGAAAACCAGAGGTAAACCAAACAGCCTAAAACATCGAAAAGGAAGTCACGCTTAAAAAAAAATAAATAAAAGGCAGGTGAAAGGATCTCACTAAATGTCTTAACAGTAATATTCGATGCTAAGTAACAGAGCAGGGCTTTTAAAGTTGTGTATGGAAATGAAATACCACACAGAACTGTATGGAGAAAAAACCCCCCACAATTCTGGACATTCAAACTGTATTTTTCAGGTCATCAGACTGTGACATAGTAATACCCTCCAGGACTCCTAGATCTTTCCCACCTACAGTCCGAGGCTGCTACACATCCCTTCCCCAATGGGACCTCAGAGATCACCCAACCGTGAGAGCAATGGAGAAGGGCTGGGGCATTTAAAGGAGAGTGAAATTGTCAAAGAAATCCACTGGAAGGCTTGCAAAACAAAGGTAAGGAATTTATCCAGAACAGAAACAAAGACATAAAAGAGGAAAGAGACAAGTTCAAGAAGAGGTTGGACGGCTTCTAATAGGAGTTACAGCAAAAAAAAAAAAGTTTTCAAATAAAAAAACCTGTACTTATTTAGAAGCATTTAGAATGTCAACAAAAGAACTGCAACTTTTTTTTACAATTACAGAGTGGTAGTTAACAGAACAATTACTTCATACTAGTGACCGGGTGCACAGATTCATGCAGTGTGAAAGGAAATTAACTAGAAGGTGGCTGGCAGGGCAGGACTGGGTGAGATGGGCCGGACATGCCCTGGAGCCAACCTCCCAGCATCTGTGGAGTGCGTGGGGTCCCTTGCCCTGGCCTGCAGGGATCAGGCTGAAACCAGCTCTCCGACATCCCATGAGGTCCCAGAGTGCAAGAGGGCACTCTGCAAAGTTGCTATCGTACAGGGTGTGAAACACAAATGCAAGTGTGGAGTAAACCAGATCGAGGCCGACAGTGCCCCAGCAACAACATAACCCACACGCAAAGGTGGAATTGCATGGTTTTGTTAGTAATCGGGCTCCCTCCTCTCTGGTTTCAGGGTACGTCAACCGAAAACCACCACTGCCAAGTCACTGTAGCTCAGCAGTTCCTGCATTGAGTGTCTGCCCCATGGTGGTCAGTGCACGTCATAGCAACCGGTCAGACAGGCAGAGGGACACTTAGCATATTAGCCTTTTATATATTCACTGAGTGGCCAGATTATTATGACCACCTGACGTTTATAGGCAAATTAGCTGTACACTGCATTGTATGGGATATGGAAGCCGAAGCCCTGTTCGAACACCCTTGCTGTCTGCAGTTACCAAGATAAAACGTCTCCAATTCGCACAGGAACACAAGGATTGGACAGTAGAGCATTGGAAAAAAGTCATGTGGTCCAATGAATCAGTTTCCAGTTGCATCATGCAGATGGCAGAGTGAGAATTGGGCGAAACAGCATGAAAACATGCATCCCACATGCATGAGTATAACCCTTCAAGCTGGTGGGGGCAGTGTTATGGTTTGGGGCATGTTTTCCTGGCATGATTTGGGCCCTTTAATTCTGAATAGCACAACAGACCTAAGTATCGTTGCTGATCAGGTTCATCCTATCATGTTGATGGCGTATCCCAATGGAGATGGCTTCTTCCAACAAGACAATGCGCCTTGCCACGGTGCTCGTATTATGCAGGAGTGGTTTCAAGAACATGAGGGAGACTTTACCTTGCTTAGGTGGCCCCCACCATCACCAGATCTCCATCCAATTGAGCATTTGTGGGACGAAGTTAAAAGAGCCACCAGGCAGCTGGTTCCACAACCATCAAACCTCACAGAACTGGACAGTGCTATTCATCAGGCAGGTGTCCGATTCCTCGCATCACCTTTCAACCTCTCGTGGAGTCGATGCCAAGAAGAATCGCCGCAGTACTGAAGGCAAAAGGTGGCCCAACGAAGTACTGATGGGGTGGTCATAATAATCTGGCCACTCAGTGTATAGATAAGCTGCCATCAGAGACAACTGAAGATGAAAAAATTACCATCTCCTGCCCTAGCCGGTTTGGCTCAGTGGATAGTCTCAGCCAGTGGACTGAATGGTCCTGGGTTCGATTCCAGTCAAGGGCACATGCCCAGGTTTTGGACTCAATTGCCAATAGGGAGCATGAAGGAGGTAGCCAATCAATGATTCTCATCATTAATGTTTCTCTCCCTCTCCCTTCCTCTCTCAAATCAATAAAAATTTAAAAACCAACCATCCCCATAGGTAACTAGTTTGTGCTGAGCACCAACAAGAGCCTGCTGTAACTTTCCAGGCCAGTTTACAACCCTATAGTGTAGCAGGCAAGGTTAGTGGCTGCTGAAAATACCACCTGCACAGGTGACCGAAAGACACATTGGTGGTGTGTGAACTACGCAGAAGAGCAGACGGGCAGTTTAAAAACACATCTTATGTGGCCTTACACTTCTATTTTTAAGGGAGTTGTGTACAGGGGCATTAAATGCTCTATAGACAAGAAAACAAAACTGCGCTAAAACCAACTTATTCATCATCTTCACCTCCCACCTCTTCATCTGCCTCCTCTTTCTTCTTGTCCTTGTCTTCGCCTGACAGCACCCTTTCCAGCCTCATCAGCTCTCCCTGGCTCGCTGTGCGGCAGGCAGTGTCTGCTCTTCTTCCTCCTTCAGCTCAGCAGTCTTCCTTTCCTCAGGCTGCTTGCCACCCGTGGCCGGCGGTCGCCGTGGGAGTCCACACCCCCAGCTGCTTTGCACCGCCACCGATGGCCAGGCCGCGATGCTCTCTCTTGATTTGGGGCGATATTCGGAAAAAAGCAAAAGGCCCGAAGGCAGCCTCTTGGGTGCACTGGGACCCTTGGCTTTCCTTGTCGATTTCCCTTTCGGAGGAATATCAGTTTCATTTCTCCCCTAGCGGGCCTTGTCTGCCTTTGTCACGTCTTCACATTTTCCTTTCTCTTTAGCAGACAAGGGCTTCCACCTTTCTGAGCTCTTCTTAGGAAACGCTGAGAAACTGACTGAGCATCGGGTGCTGCTGCTGGTGCCTCCCGGCAGGTTTGCTCCAAGAAAGCGCACATGGCATTCTGCCTCCGCTTCTCCCTTGCCGTGTTTCCTTCCTTCTCCTCAACGAGCAGTCACCGAGTGCCTGGCCGCTCCCACTTGCCCCGGCACTCAACAGTTTTTAAATGAAAAAATAACTGAGTCCTGGCCAGTGTGGCTCAGTTGGTTGGAGCATCGTCCCATACATTGAAAGGTTGTGGGTTCGATTCCCAGTCAGACCACATACCTACGTGCGCATGTGGTATACAAGTGACCAACGTTTTTCTCTCATATCAGTGTTTCTCTCTCGCTCTCATTCCCTT